AAATACTACGGAGTACCATTTTTTCCTAAAAAATCACACTCAATCCATCTCTCAATCTCTCAATCTATCAATCTCTCAAATCTCAATCTCTCAATCTTATTATCTCTTTTTAATTTTATACATTTTATATTCATATAATAATATAAATATATATTAATATATTACATAATAACCTATAAATACATTCATTATTCATATTATCAATTATCATATATTTTTAGTTTATTACTAATATTATAATTTCAAAATTTTTGAAATTGAATATATAATTAATTTTTTAAATATATTCTTTAAATAATTTAAATATATAATTATTTTTTTAAATATATTATATTTTTTAAAAAATTTGTAATTTTTGAAATTTTAGAACTTTTAATATATAAAATTTAGAAATTTTTTTAAATTTTCGAAATTTAATATATTATTTTTTTAAATATCAAAAAATATATATATTAAAATGTCGAGAGAGTCTGGTAGAAGGTCCGGTAGAAAATTGAGAAAGTAATCCTTAATTATTAGACGTCGGAAAAATTAGTTTTAAAATACATTGACAATGTCAATCAAATTCTACTTTTAAAATATATTTTTATTTCTACTTGTAATTTTAATTTCTAAAGTTTTGATCTTTTACAAGGATGAGATATTTTAATAAAAATACTATCTCTTCTATATATTGATTATCTAAATTTAATTACTTTTTAATGTATATTTAAATTAAATATTAATTCTAATGTATATATGAAGTAATTATTAAAATATTAAATTAAAAATATTGATTATATAATATGAATGATTATTCTAATATATGAATTAACTAATTTTATTTTATTAAAAAATAATCATTAAATAAAAAGTATTGATTATATTATAATATGAATTATCATTACAATTTTCAAATGTTATTATAAAGTCAAATCAAATTATTGATTTGAAATTTTAAATTAAATCATAATTAATCAGATCAGATCAGATCAGATCTAATCAGATCAGATCAGATCCAATCAGATCAGATCAGATCAGATCCAATCAGATCAGATCAGATCCAATCAGATCAGATCAGATCTTATTAAAATCAGATCAGATCAGAAAAAATAAGTTGAACGGAACGGAGCCTTAGTCTCATAGGCATGAACTTGGATATGAATATTGGGCCAATTGAATGAATATTCATCCCTTGATCCAATATACAACACCAACCCGCTAATGTCTTGTACATGTTAATTTGTCAAGAAATAACAATCATCGACTTACGCATTGGATCGCCTTTTGGTACTCTTCATCATTAAGATTAAACTTGAAAGAGTCAAAATGAACTAGAAAGAAATAGAAAAAACTATGAGTTATAAAAAAAATTGGAAATACTTGAAAGGAAATGTAAATAGTTAAAAATACTTGAAACTATTGAGATCTAAAAGAATATAGGCATAATGCTAAAAAGCACTTTTGAATGTTAATGTACAAAGCCAAATTATCAAAGTATAATAGTATTATTTTAGGGATAAATATATAAGTCTTATCTTGAGAATAAAATCTACTCCCCCCGTTCCTGAAAACATGAAGTATTTTGATTTTTAAGGAATGTAAAGGAGGACATTTTGATGTTGAGTTTCCAAAAAGTAGGTAAAAGTAGGAATTTATATGTAGATTAATAATGAATACTCCGTATATGTGATATTATAAGTAGATTAAGAATGAGTAGGGATAAAAGTGACTTTTTAATAGAAATGAGAAAAAAAAATTTGTGACGAATGAAAAAAAAGAAGAAAAGTTTTTATGGACTGAGGAAGTATATTTCTGTCTTAACAAGATACATTTTTTACTTGATACTTTTTGTTACATATATAATTAAAAAAATTAATTAGTAAATAAGATACCCTCTTTACCTCAAAACATATTTTACTCCTTCCGTTTTCAAAAACACTTCCTCTTTCATTTTTTCCACTTCCAACAAAACACTTCCCCTTTCTATTAAAAAACCACTTTTACCCTTACTTTTTCATACCCTACCTATCACATCATACTTTTTCTCTAATAATCTATTCATCACATCTTACTTTTACCCATCACATCAGGGGCAAAATTGGAAATCAGCTATAATTTAACACTTCCTTATTTTTGCCCCCAAATCAAATGGGAAAGGTTTTTCCAAAGGGAGGGAGTACTATCTCCTTCTCAGAAAATTGGTCTACTTCCATTTTTTTGTTGTGAAAACTAATAAAGTTTGACCATTTTATATTTAAAACATAAATTAGATATTGATATAAGAATAATTTTATTTGATTAAATATTTATCTATAAAAAATATTCTTAAAAACCTTTTTAATTGAAATATGTATCTTTTATTTAATTAAAAGTCAAAAATCGAACTTGATTGGTCAAAACTAATACTCCGTATTTTGCGTAAATAGACATGTAAAACTTTTATGCGTTACATTCCCATCATGTTAATTAAAGAAACAAATGTTAATGAAAAAAAAAACTAGTAAAAAAGGAAAAAGAGTTTGACCTAAAAGAGTTGGGGGTATTCACTACTAAAATAATTGCGAACAGAGGGCGAGAAGTTCGCCTCTAATTCTACCAAAACCGCCGCTATTCAAGATATAGAGTGGAACTAGAGGCGGACTACGTTCTGCCGCTAATCATGCCGCTGCTAATTTTAGAGGCGGAAAAGTCCGCCACTAATGTTCTAAAATTTAGAGGCGGAAATGTTTGCCTCTAAACTAGAGGCGGAACTGTTCGCCTCTAAATCAGAGACGGAATTCTTCTACGCTTAAGTAGAGGCGACATTTTTTGCCTCTAATAATAGAGGAGGACTTCTTTGCCACTACCTTTCTAATTCAATAGAGGGGGGATAATCTGCCTCTAATTTTTTTTTTATATTAAAAAAAATATAAATAATTATAATATTCTGAATACAATATAGAAACATACAAATAATATTCAACCATTACACAATATCATCTTTTCAAAAACTCACAAGTCATACAAATTTGCAAAATAAGGTCAGAATACATAAAGGATTTCTAAATAAGTTTTCAAGAAGTCACAAGTCATCCTCAATACCTTACAAAACTAAATCTAATAAAAGATTACCAACAAGTATCGATAAGGATAGCAAAATATACCATGCACGCTTCATTGAAGCTCCCAAGTGGAAACATACTAATCAATCAATTCATGTTCATCCCGCTCATCATTGTAGTGTGGATGAGAAGTCGGGGTTGATGACGGAGGTGCAGCAGATCCCTCCACAACTGCAAGGCGTTGAAGTACAGCTTTCAAGGTAGTTCGAAGGTAAGCTAATTCTTCCTCTTGCCTTTCAATTTGATCACCTTGGAGTTCATGTTTTTCTTCCATACACGGCTATGGTTTTTGCCACCAACAGTATCACACCATGTTTGTAACTTTGTCAAGGAGTCCACAGCTTCAGGTTGAGTGCCGCCAATCGAGGCTTGAGATGAAATGTCGTGGATAGCCTCTTGGTACTTGTCCTACAATAGGTAGAATCTTATATGTTTGAGATTACATGTAAACAAAAATCATAAAATTAAACAAATAGTACCATCCGTAAAAAGTTAGTGTTATTACATATATCTCCTTTGAGCGGTCGTCAATCCAACTACCATCCGTATGTCGTCGAGTGAAACAAACCAACTCGTCAGGGTCTACCGGACGATCAAGAGCAATAGCCTACAACGAACTCATAATTAAATAACTCGAACTCATATTAAATAGCACAGTACCAATGACGAACTCATAATTAAAGTGTACCAATCACCAATTCCAACAAAGTATAAACATAACTAAAGTGCATACCATATTCTCTGCAACCTCAACATGGGGAATGGGTCCAGTTGTGTGAAGTGCCCCACCCTTCTTTGATGCTTGGTTTGCCTTTGCTCGAGCCGATATTGCAAGAAATTCTGGTGAATCCCAATATTCAGTAAGTTCTTTCCAAGCCGCATCTCAAATTCATTTAAATCATCAAAATCATAATCAATTGAGTCATCTCTA